GAGCCGCGGCAGCTGCAGCCAAGCAGAAGGGGAAACGCTGTGAGGACGCTGCCGGGGCTCGTCCCCGGGCTTTGTTCCCCTCCCCCAGAGACACGGCGTGTCCCTGCATTCTCCACCCTGCCAGGTCTAAGGGGATTGTTTTAAATTTAGTCCCGCATCAAGGACGAGAGAGAAACTGGGCCCCCTGTGGTGAGATGCAATTTCCAGGGCTGACCTCCTGTGGAGAGACCACTCTACACCTGGGTAAAGCCAGCTGGATGGTGTCCAGAGTCCAAATAACAAATCTTGCAGCCAACTAGTTGGTCAACCAGCTATGGCATTTTGGCCTCAGGAAGTTCATTAGGCTCCCAGTGCTCCTGGGGGGATGTTTCCACTGTCCTGCTTTTCACAGAATGTCATAGAATCACTATGGTTGGAAAGGACCTCTAGGATCATCAGGCCCAACCTTCCTCCCAACATCTCCCTAACCACTAGACCATAGCCTCAAGTGCTACATGTACTCGTGTTTTGAACACCTCTAGGGATGGTGACTCCACCACCTCCCTGGGCAGCCTGTTCCAGTGCCTAACTTTCTGCCCAGGGAAAGCAGTGCTCCTCAGGTAGCACAACCCAGAGGCTCCCACTGCTCCCCAAAGCCCAAGGCCAGTGGTGGGTGGGCACATGCAATGAGTGGACTTATAATAACAGGGGACAAGAGGCAGGCACTGTGCCAGGAGAAGCGTGGAGGCCAGGTTGTACTCACTGCTAGGTCTGCTCCTCAGCACTTTCACCTCTGTGCTGGCACTGACGGAGTTGTTGCTGCTGCTGTAGGCACTGCAGGTGTAGGATCCTTCATCAGCCTCTTGAACGTTGCTGATGATCAGGCTTCCATCCTGGGACAGGTGGATGTGGTGGCCATCTGCCCGCATGGGGACTCCATTCCTGTGGTGAAAAACATCTGCACCACTGTTCCCACCCGTGGGGGCTAAAGGAGCTCACGGTGCTCTTTAGGAACTGATGCTCTGTGGAAGGGGTGGATTTTTGCAAACGCAGCAGGAAGGAAGAAGAAACCTTCTTGTGCCACAGCCTGGCTCTACAGCTGGGTAGTAACAGGAGCCTGAGCGATGCATCCGTCAGCCTGCTGCCTGCGTGGGAAGGGGCTGGCTGTGTGCTCTGCAGGAAGACATTGCCCTTTCCACTCGTACACATTGCTGACGCTGGAGGAGCTCAGAGGAAACCCAGGCTGTCTCTCCCCCTCTCCGGGTTGTGGTCAGGCTGTGCTGGTTGGCTGGCACCGAGAGCAGCACATATTGCTTGAGGAACATATGGGGGAGCAAGCACTGCACCCTCTTTACTCTCCCATTAGACTCTGTTTAGAAAAAGTCTTTGAAATACCAGCAAGATTATGTCTGTTCTGTTTCTCCTGGAATACTCTGTCCCCAGCAGGAAAACTGCCTGAATTACAAATTACAAAGGAAATTAAATTTGTTTCACTGAGAAGGGTTTCATTCAGACTCTGAAACTTGCATCATTTTGTTAACTCAAATACCACTGGCATGGAAGAAAAGCTCTCTTTGTGAGACGGCCCACTTCAGTCCCACCCCTTGGAGCAGAGGGATTTAAACAATGACCAATCCATCTCCCTGGATCTTTTGCAAGAAGGCTCCAAAACAAAACTGATTATTTTCAAACTGGGGGAAAAAAAAACACAAACCACCAAACACTTGCAGAAATTCAGAGTTTCCCTGCAAACCATCAAGAGAAGAAGAGGACACAGCTTTTCTTTTACCTTTATATAGACACTTTAAAATCTCCTTTGCTCCCACTTGACAGCAGAGGGAGAGAACTATTGCAGGAGAAGGCTGGGAGAAGAATCGCTGCTATTGTAGGGTCTGAAATGCTTGCTAGGGTTAGGCAGAGAGAGTTTTCTAAGGGCCAACAAAAGGTCATCCTCTGACTACTCATTTTAGTTTTTGCTATTGTCACTTCTCACCTTGACCACCTTATATTCACGTTGCTTCCAGTCACTGTGCAGTGCAGCTGAGCAGTCCCTCCCTCGGGTACCGTGATGCTTGGCAGAAGACCCGTGATCCTCAGCTCTCCTAGGCCAGAAGGGAAATCACTGCTAGCAGGAAGACAACGCCATGCTGCCCCTGCTAGTGGGAGCATTCTCCCATGGGAAAAATCCAACGGGCACTATGAGTAGCTATGAGCCCCTAATTCCTTGAAACAGCCCATTTGGAGCTATGCTGCTGCTGCTATGGGGAATGTGGATTTCCTAAGGGCTTGGGCCCAAGCAAGGGCAAGAAGCAGAGGCCTCAAAGAGATTTTTCCCCCAGTTGTGTATAAGCATATCACATGCAAAAAAGAACTATCTCTTTAGTTCCTCTTGCTCCTATACTCATTCTACACCAGCAGCCCACAAACACATCCCTAAGAATGACTCTTATTGTCCCTCTCCCCAGTTGCCTGGAGCACCATGATCTCCTAGACACACACAGATTACCACTGGGTGAAACAACTCACTCTGCCCTTGCCCTCAAGCTGCCTGTTAAACACCAGGTGTGAAGCCAAGAGGCATGGCCAGACAAGAAACCCACACTCCCCAGCCCTCCCCGTGCACACACGTGTGTGCACAGACATGCCAGGCACATCCCCACCCACCCAGTACCTAGAGGCCGGAGCAGGACCTGGCGCCGGTCCTGGTCGCGTCCATTTGAGGCAATGCAGGTATAGAAGCCAACATCTTCAGAGCTGACCCTGCTGATCACCAGGGCCCCGTCCGACTGCTGCCTGTGTCTGCAGGACAAAGCCAGAAAGCCCCTCAGCCTGTGCTTGGGTCAGGACAGGACTCCAGCCACCGGAGCTGAAGCTCAGCCTTGTGCATAGCTTCATAGTAACACTGAGCAGAAGCTTGACAACAGTTCAGTTCAACCTGTAATGCCACCCCTGATCCTCGAATCCCAGCACTAGTGCTGTAGACTGTGGAAAAGCTCACTGCTTGGAGCAGGTTTCGAGGAGCAGAGGCTGAGGGGAGCTGCAGGAGCTGTGGGTGTTCACTGCAGGCACCCTGATCTCTCTCTTTGCTGTGAACCTCTGCCCTGGCTCACAGCACACCTGGTTTTTAGCAAACTTGCTTGCTGTGTGTTCTTCTGCTCATCTTGTAGATGAGCGAATTTCAGGTTGGGCTCACCCGTAGACCCTGTATCACAGGTGTTCACTCAAGGGTTCAGTGTTCAAACTTTGATCTGTGAGTGGGGCTTGGGCACTCAGGCGGTACAGTCTGGTCCTCATGGAGGAAGCTGGCCAGCACAAAGCAGGACAGGCCTTGGCTGCACATCCAGCAGCTCCATTCTCTCAGGGAGGAGACAGGGAAGGCAAAGCAAGACAAGGAGGAGGCTCTCCTCCACGTGAACCTGCCTGGGGGTACGGTGGGGCCACCTAGGAGCTCACCTGGGAGAGGAGAGGGGCTGCCCACCCTTCTGCCACTCGATGGTGAGAGCCGGCGATGCCTCCACCGTGCAGGGCAGTCTGACCCTGTCCCCGACATTGGCCTCCACTACTGAGGGCTCGCTCTTATCCATCCTCAACCTGCAAAGTCCACAAGCAGAGCAAAAGATGCAGAAACTTCCTTGTTCGGCCTTTGTCCTTCAGCACAAGGCTTTTTTCATCACAAACCTCATTTTTGGCCTCCAATGGGAAAGGGCGGTCTCTGCACTCCCATCTGAGCTCTGACACTGAGCCATGACCAACGTTCCCTCAGAACGTTCAGAAAAGAGCAGCCTCCATCAGACCCTGTCCCAGGTCAGCACAGCTTGGTGCTGCACTGGGGCCAGCCAGCTTAACCCCCGAGAGACAGCAACCCTGCTGCTCACAGCACCCCTCAGGATAACAGCCTGGGGAGGGCTAACTGCATGAGCATCTGGCAAATGGGACAAAGTTCTCAACAGGGCATCAAGCAAGCTTCCCCCAGGGTGGCACACAAAAATGAGCAGATATTTTCTGGGGGGACTGTGAAGACTCTGTTGCAATCACCTTGACTGCAGACAAGGTCCAGGAGCTGGTCAGTGACTTCATGCAGCAGGAAGGGTAAGGTCAGGCTCTCACACCACCCATCTCCTCATACTCTTGGCTCTCCTAACTACAGCTAATCACCATTTTAGGAGGGAGCTAAACCATGATGTTCCCAGAGTCAAAGAAAACATCATCTCCCCCACCCGCGTTCTCTGACCTGAATTCTCAAAAAGCGAAACCAAAGAGCCTTAATTCAATGCTCTTAATTCAATGAATCACTTCTTTCTGCTTTTAGGCAGAAGCAGCTAAGGAGGCTGCTGGGGAGGTCAACAAACTGGCTGGGTTTTAGGTTGCAAACTCAAAAGGAGGGAGGGATCAGATCATGGTCCCATGTAATCTGGAGCTTCAACATGCTGCATTTAGGGCAGGAAAAAATTTGTAGCCTTCTATTTCTGTGGGGCCTAGAAGCAACAGAAAAACATGCACACTACAAAATATGCCACCCAGTATGTGAGAAGACAGTTTTGAGTCAAGCTGGTTAGTTTAGAAAATATTTAAAATAAATGGGTGGGGGCTAAAGCAACTGGAGCTTTTTTCATATAAATACATCTATTTTGTGCTAGTTAAAGCAGTTGCTATTTGCTTTGCTTTTTTCCAGAACAGGTTTCTCCTTCTGCCTACACTAACTTGAGCAGCTAAGGATGCTGTCTCTGTATTTCTGCTTTCACCTGAACCTGGCTCCTTTGCTGTCAGCCTCCCTGCACAGAATGTGCTTCTCTGAAGAGACCCTCGGGGAGGACAGAAGACAGCTTGCAACTGGGACCTTCTCCCCCATCCCACTGTCAGCAGTTCAGTCCTGCATGCTTTCCAGCCGTGCCCCAGAACAGCCAACCCAGGACCTTTCCAGTCTTCAGCTTTTCTGCACGAAGGGATGCCATATGGCTCATCAGCTGGGCACGGAGGACAAACTGTTGCTGTTTGTGGACTTACCTGTATGTGAGTGGCTGACGTGCAGAGGGACCTGCTGCCTGTACAACTTGCCTGCCTCTGGACCGCTCTCGATGCTGGTTTTCCTTGTGGAGGCCCCGACCTCTCTCACCCTCAGCCAGAACAGCACCCTGGTACTCTGTTCAAAATAAAATGCCATGTGTGAATAAAAGGACATTTCTTACTGTGACCTCTCGCGCAGGGTTTCTATGAGCTCGGGAGAGCTTGCTGAACTGGAGCCAGAGAGCCCTTCAGCCATCTGTTTTCTGGCTGACTAGTGCAGTAAGCCTGCGCTGTCTACTAATGAGAGTCACAGACCTGCAGGCAAGCAATTTTAGACTCCTTTCTCTCCTCTGTCTGTGAACATGTTGCAGCATCCCCTAGGCCACAATGCCTTCTGCCCCGTGTGCCACTGCTGTGACAAAGCGCTCTTCAGAGATTGAAGGCTACAGGGTGCCTTGCTGGCCCATCTTTTGAGACCAGACTTTCATAATATTTTGGGTTTAGTTTCTTAAATAAGGCACATTTTTCAGAACAGGGAATTGTTTGTTACCCAGCAGGGCTTGCTGGGGTAAAACACAAACCACAAATGCTCTGGCACAGACCACTATGGCAGACTGGTCACATTACAGTGTGAGATGGAGAGCCCAGGAAACTGCAGCAAACCCCTCTCCCGGAGCCTCCTTCCTGGGATCAGGAGGCAGCAGATGGCCCTCAGAGAGGGAGACGTGCTCGCTGTGCTGGAAATGGGGCAGGTCATACATAAGCCACAGCTCCAGTTATGGGTTGGCTCTGCAGGGGAGGAAGTGTTTCGGGCTGAGGCTTTATCATAAGGCAACAGCAAAAGAAGCCCTGCTGCCTCCACACTGCCCCCGGCACCCCTACAGCAGAGGAGACTGCTCTGAGCAGTTCTTGGGACACCACCGCCACGGGGCGATGCCAACGCTGCTTGGCACAGTGTGCCAGCGGAGGGACTTTGCTCCTGCAGCTGCTTTTACTGCTCCTCTTGGCCACAACAGCTGAGGAGGAACCCTGAGCTGCCTCTTTGGTCTTAAGTGGAAGGTAAGTCACCTATGATCTGCAGCCGAATCTCTCGCCTCTCTGCCGTCCCACCAGAGAGGAGGCACGTGTAAGTCCCCGCGTCCTCCGGCCTGACGTGGCTGATCACCAAGGAGCTGTCGGACTGGTGGGAGAGCCTGCAGCAGGAGCAAGGATCAGCTGCCTCCGCCTGGCCACCGACAGCAGCCGGCCAAGGCAGAGCAGCCCTTCGTGCTGCTGTTACATAAACCACCACCCTGCACGGCCCTCCCCAGCTCAGAACCAAACAAAACCCTGCTGACCACACGGAGGTCACAGGCAGGGGAAATCACTGCGGCAGAAAGGAGGTCAGGAACAGAGAGGAAGCTGAGATGAGAAAACAGGGAGCTGCTTTCAGCAGCCTCTTCTGTGATGAGGCAAACTGCCCTCCCAGGCAGGAGCTTGAGCCCCAGCAGTCATCTGCAAACAGAAAAGCACAACTGGGCTTTTCTTAACTGTGATTTTCATAATACAAAGTGACTGTCTGGCTCCAAACTGTTGCTAGAAACAGACTTCCTAGGGGAAAAAAGGCTTTAAAAAGTAGTTTGTTTTTTTTTAAAAAAAATGTATTTTAGATGTGAGTGGCAGAAACTTCCAGCAAGAGGAATTCCAGGTTATTTGGCTACTTCACCCTGGACTACCTGACTGCCCTTCACCCAGGGCTACCACCCTGACCTAGTGTTGCCCCAAGGGGAATCCAACAGACACAACCTTCATCTCTATCACTGCCCATGTGTCAGCTTCCACCAGTGCCACGTTCTGGGGCAGGACCTGTGCTGCCCCATAACACTAGCCAGCACCTCAGTTCTGTTGCAGGCTGCATCTGTGTCTGCTGTGCACACACCAGGTGGAGAGTTCATGCTCCTAGGTCAATGCAAGGGCTTGTTTATCTGTTCATCTTTTAATTTTGTTCCAAGTGTGTTAGGAGTAAGATCACAAAGCAGGCAGACAAGCATATTGCCTGCACCTGCCCTACCACGACGGGAGCTGAGCTCACCTGTCTGAGGAGACCGGTCGGCCGTCCTTCATCCACTCCACTCTGGGGAAGGGGGACAGGCCTGTCTTGCAGATCAGCTGGATGTTTTGTCCCACAGCTGCTGTCACCAGAGAGGGCTTGGCTTCCTCCAGGATGGCTCTGAAAGGCAAAGCCATTCCATTTGACATCTCTGCTGCTCTCCTCCTGGGTCCTCTAATGTGGCTTGGGATGAGTCACAACTACAGGGCAAAGCAGGACTGGCTGCCCAGTCAGCTCTGAGCAGATGCACCGGGCAGCCCGTGGGGAGCCCTCTCCTACATGGCAAAGGCTGCTCTGGGCACACTGAATGCTACAGTATCTGCATGAAAAGACAGTCCTACAGCCCCTCCCTTCTGAAGGAACTAGGTTCAGCTCAGCAGACAGACCCATGTTCAGTGCAGACACATTTAAATCCTGCTCTGTGCACTCTTAATTTTCAGGGTGGCACTGTCTGGATGCTGACCCAAATTCTGCATCTTAAAGATCTTCCCTAGGACAACCCACTGCTGCTCCATGCAGTGCTGAGATAAAGGCTCTGAAGTCAGAGAGTCAGCTAAATTTGTCGGTCAGAACAAGAAAAACACCCACGGATTCCCGCTTAGAGTGCAGGAAGAGAGCTCAGGATCCTGCACTCTTCCCACACACCACGCTGCCAGCGCTGTCAGGGAGCAGGGAGAGCGCAAGGCAAGAGACAGCAGGTAACTCCAGGGCCACAAGAACTTGATTTACCAAAAGACAACACGTACGGCTGACCCACCGCCCGGCATTCCCACTCAGCTGGCCCCAGCTGGGGCAGCGCTTTCACTCCAGAGGAACCTGCACCGATGCTGCACCATTAGCTGGCAGAACAGGAAAAGATCATCAGAAAAAGCCCATCACCTGTGCAGAGCCCGTGCTGGGAACAAGCCTGCAGACGCCTGGTGCCCAAGTCCCTCTGGCACGGCAGGATCTGCTCCGAAAGCCTCGTGCCTGTGCTGGCCCTCCTGCCTCTCGGCTGCTCCGGGCGCTGCCGCCTCCCAGGAGCGCTGGCTCAGGCTCTCCAGTCTGCTCCGCTGGGTGCCCCAGCGCTGGCTCTCCAGCACACCACCCCTTGGGGAAGGCTCTGGCAGCACCTCTCTTCTCCGGCCGTCCTGCCCGTGGCTGTCTCGGGCAGCCCCATAAGCTCTTCCTTCCTGGCTGTGACTTGCAGACGCTCTCGGGGGTGGCTGCGGCTGACCCCGAGCGTCCCCCGTGTGAGAGCCAGTGTGCTGGTGTGGCAGGGACCAGAGTGCTGGTGTGGCAGGGCCCCTGTGCCAGAAGAGGGCTGGTGCTCCAGAGGACTGACCCCCACCGACCCGTGGCACACTCTCATGCACTCCTCCTCTGAGGCAAAGTTGTTTTTGTTGCCGTGACAGCCACCGTACCAAAACCGGTTGCACTTGCCAACAACAGCCACGAAGTACCAGTGAGTGGTCCAGTTCGTGCAGGGTCCGTGGGCACTGGGCAGCTGGCACATGACAGGATAGGCTACCAAAAAGAGTGGAACAGAGGGAGACGTCAGGGTCACAAAGCACATGGGTCTGAGTGCTTCGAGCCACCTACCCAGCTGATCTGATTGGCCTTGTGGGCAGAGGGCAAGTGGGAAAGTAGGAGACCTGAGCTTTGCACCCAGCTCTGCTTTCAAACTGGGCAGCTGCTCACATGTTCCTGCCCCCGTTTTGCAGGAGAACCCACCTCAGAGGCATTTCTGAACCTAGATACTAGCTGGATGCTTTACAGCCTTTCTTAGGGAATTTTGCAGGTGAGAGGTTGGCTCTGGGGCTTCCTCTCCTGCAAGGGGCATGTGGCTGCCAATTGCACACTTCCAGCACATGAAGCAAGTGGGTTAGACCCAGCTGTGAAGCCTCATGGATTGCAGAACACCCCTCCACACCGACACAGAGAGGAACACAGCCCAGCACCTCTGCAGAGCTAGCCCTGTGCTCCGAGTGACGGGCAGCACAGCCGCGTGACGACAAACCCTGGATGCAGGGCTCTGAGGGGCCCTCTGCCAAGCAAGGCTGGGCAGAGATGATCAGAGAGCTTTCCCTTTCCCCAGGGCAGCCCCACAGGGCTGGCCAGAGAGCAATCCCTGTGCTGCAGCAAAAGGGCAAGGCAATGCAGCAGCAACACAACTGCAGAGGATACAGCTGGGAGCTGAAGGACAGAGATGCTTTTGCCCAGCAGCTCTGGTGCCCTCAGAGTACAGTGGGCACTCTATTGAACTCCACTGGCTGAAAGCGTCCATGCTGCCCTCAGCAGCATCTCCATCCTTGGCTGTGGCTGTCACTCCACCCCTCTCTGTGGGCTGTCTGAAGGCTGTACATGGTCCCAGTTCCTCAGAAAGGTCCCTGCTGCTCCCTAACCCCAGGTAACTAATTTGGAGTACTCCAGGCTGCACCAGGGTGTCTCCTCAGAGGCAAACAGCTCCTCAGAAGTCTTACAGACTGGCAGAAACCACACACTCCTGTCCAACTATCAGCAGAGGACAAGAATTTCTGCAGTAGCTGAGAGAACTGAACCATCTGGCTGCTTTTCTACGCCTCTTCCAAGCTTCCCCTGGCACAGCCCCGGGGCAGAATTTCCTTTCAAAGAGATGATTTGCTGCACTTTACAGGGAGCTTCCACACGCTGCTGGGTTCTGTCGGACTCTTCCTACATCTCTACACCAAGAAGCCAAAGTATCACTTACGGTAGCTGGGGCTCCTGAGGCACCCTTCCCCTCGAGGGCCTGACGCCGACGCGACGTTGTCAGCACAGCAGCCGTACGTGGAGCTGCGGCACTCGCCCGGGGGGCGCTGCTGGGCCTGGGCTGGGCTTGCCTTGCAGACAGGGATTGAAAGCCAAACGTTAGCGTGCACACACGAGGACAGCAGCACATGCGAGGCACCGCGTCCAAGCTGTCGGCCGCAGAGGGCCAGCTGTTAGAGGAACCACTACGGGTTGTTTGCCTACCAGAGGCTTCCATGCTGGGAAGGGATGGGAAACTTGGCCGTCAGCCATGGAGCCAGGGCTGCACTTCTCTACCAGCCCAGTTTTTTCAGCTGGCCCCATCAAGCACCCCGAGCTATGAGAGGAATTACTTCCCTGACTATTTTGCCCTCAATCTGCAGAGCTGACAAACAAATGCAACTAATAGTGGCCACATTTCCCCCACTTTTTTTTTTCCTAGAAATTGGATGGCAAGTTTTTGATTGAGAGAAATTTGGTTACTCAGGTTTATTCAATTAGCTCTACAGAGGACGTTCTTCTGCTTCTCAGACGTCTCCCAACCACCCGCTCCTGTCCTCTGCTTACAGAAGGTCAGAGGTGGGTGCCCCAGACTGAACAGGAGTGAAGTGGGCCAAGGGGCTTGATGCCATGCCAGGAGTATCGCTTCTCCAGCAACACTGACAGAGATGGAACGCAACAGAAACCACAGTGTGAGCCACTGGGGTCACATCTGCATCTTTGTATCTGATGGACTCCTAAAACACAAACAGTTTCTGTACTTACTGTTGGAGAGCCCGCAGTGGGCTCATCTCTGCTCACTTGAACATCACGGTGATATTGTGGGCATCCCATGTTGTTTGGACCCCGGGCAGCCGACACGCCATCAGGACAGCATCCGTACCTACAGGATGGATGTGGCAAGTTCTACAGAAGGGCTGCAGCAACACCTGACCTGCCCAGCTCCACAGGCACAGGCTGTGAATTCCAGTAACCCCCCAGGAAAGGCAATGCCTCCCTGCTCAGGCCAATCTACTTCCAGCTACCTGTTTCGGTGACAGTTGCTGGAGGGGCAACCTCTGCCCAGAGGGCCTGAAGCTGGAGTGTGCCCATCTGGACAGCAGCCGTGGGGGCTCTGGTGACAGTCCTGAGAGCCAGTCCCTGCAGAGGGGTCCTGAGAGAAGCTGAGCTGATGGGAACCCGAGGAGCGTGACTGGGATTCCCAACGAACGGGCAACACATTGATGCCAAGGTCCTTGGTGGATGGGAGGTGGTCATTCCCAGACGTACTACGGATTGTGGAGCTCCCACCAAGTATCCTTTCATCACCAGAATCTGGAGAGAGATCTCCTTAGAGTATGCAGATAAGCATCAACATATGGTCAGTTTTCCTCATCTCTGCTTTCTTTTACCTGTCCAAGGCTACAGGGCAGGCTTTTCTCAGAATGGTAGGGGTTGGAAGGAACCTCTGGAGATTCTACAACAGTTTCACCTGAACGTGTGTCTTCTGGCCCACCCTCCTGGATTTGGTTATCCTGAGGTTCTTTGCTCACTGCCCTGACCATTCTTTCTGCTGTCCCATGAGAAACCACCTGCCACATTACTGTGGTCCCCTCGCATCTCACCTTTTCTTCTTCCTCTGATGTGCTTTGGGCAGCATTTCTCTCAGTCAGAGAGAGCCATTTCTGCTGCCAGAAACTGGGATCTATAAACTGTACAGTATTCTAAACAGACAAATTCAAATACTGCTCACTGTTGGTGTAAAAGAATCTACACTTTGTCCCTGGCTCCATGAATTTCTAGAAGGCCGTGAAAAGAATGAGAGAAATGAGGAAAAGGAGGAATCTTCCCCCTACCACACCCTATTTCAAGTCAACCATCATCAAACCCCCAAACTAACAAAATGCTTCCAAACCTGCAGCGGGGCTGTTTGGGTTGTAACGTGTCAGCGAGGACTGGCGGGTGACATCGTATCCCATAGTGTCCTGCATGCTGGGGACCTCTGCAAAGACAGGGAGGGGAAAAATGAGTGCAGTTAGTCCAGCCCTCTGCTCTAACCGTTGCAAACGCAGCCAGGAGTCAACAGGAGACTAAAGCTGATGAACATGTTTCGCTTCCCTTGGAACAGCTGCTAAGCAGCAATTGGATTCAGTTGGATTGTCAGGAGAGTGACCTGTGGTGGGCAGGCAGACAGAAGTCAGCATTTCATGGCATGAAGACTAGACACAGACAGCAAGCAAAATCTTCTGAGCAGTTGTGCCTCCTCTACAGCTGGTCCACAGAGGGATGAGAGTTGGCTATAGTTTTTGGCCACTGAGCCTGCCCAGGTTGCCATCCCTCTCGACTGGGAGTTCTGGGGTCAGTCTGCAGCACACACTGGGACAGAGTCACCCCGGAATACCGGGATGTCCAAGTGGACACAGGCCAGGGGCATTCCCAGGCCTGTGACATGCATTTCAAACAGCAAGGTGCTGGGCTCTGAAGAAGCCACGGTCACGTGCACAGAACAAACACACGGGCTGGAGACAGGCGGGCAGGCAGCTGAGAGCACGCGCTGGGAATTCCTGCTCCCAGAGGGGAGCGAGGCAGGGAAAGGCGGCGGGCAGCAACGCCACTCACGCTGCGGCAGGTAGCAGGGCTGCGTGTTGCAGCTCCCCAGGGTGGCTGGTTTCTGGGGCTGGATGGCTCTGCACGTCTCAGGGCTGTAGAATTTGGAGTCGCCGTCGGCGCAGATGACCTGGCGTGTCCGGATGCCTGAACTGCAGCTCTTGGAACACTTGGGCACAGAGACAAGGCAAGTGAGCAGGCAGCAGAGGCCAAGTGCAGAGACCCTCAGAGCAGAAGTGTGGGACAGCTGCACGACTAGCTGCAGGCTCAGCACAGCTTCCTCCACCGAGGCAAAGCAAGCAGTATTTCAGCTGGACCCAGCTGAACAGTTAGCAAACCAGACTTGCAAACATTTTGCCAGTCGTTGCACCCAGCCCTGAAGCATTAGGCTCTGAGCCACGCTCAGCCTGTAACACCCTGATGAGCTGCTGTGACCACTGTGGTGTGGCAGGGAGCTGGAGTCAGTGCTCCAGCCTGGCCTTGAAGGCATCTCAGCACCATGGGGACCCACCAGCTGTGAGAGGGTCAGCTTTGAACTAGGCATTCAAGAACAACAGTTAACAATGGGGAAGCAAACCAGTGGCTTTCTTGTAAGCAGCTAACTCGAGTCCTCTCACTGGAAGCTGTGGATGAAGAGGAGCAGTGAGCAGCTGCTCAGAGGAGAGGAGAGGAGGAGCTATCTGTGTGACCCACCTGCTCGTGCCAAGTTCTATGAATGTTGGGTGGGTATTTCTTGCTCTTATTCAGATGCAGGTGGGAGCCCTTCTAATATCAGAAAGCCAGGAGCCAGGGAAGTTCAGATCAAAGTAAGTGATTTCTTTAGCTATTGTTAAAACTTGACCCATATCTCATGAAGGGCCAGATGTTTTAACTCAGAACAAGCTACTCTGGCTCATACAGAAGGCAAAAAAGTGTGTTTGGAAGCCACCTGATGCACTGAATCTACTTCTATTCTCCTCCCCCCACTTTTCCCAGGTTGAACACAGCCTGGCTCCCTCCACAAAGACAAGACTAATCCAGCTGAAGCACAGTTTACCTAAACAATTGTTTAAAATGTCCTTTAAACTATATCACAAATGCAATGACCAGTCCTGCAGCTCCAAGCCATACTTGGCCAGAGAGCTGTTCTGCTGCTCACAGCGATGGGGCAAGGAATTGGGAATAAGCAGCAGGAGTGGATTGTGTCAGCTTATTGGCTGCATTTTGCCACTGTCACTAAACCATAATCCCCCCTCAGCAGGATTTATTTCCGTGGCAGCTGCACACAGAGCAGGCAGCAGATTATCTGGAGCGTTAGCAGTGCCAGCTACAAGGCAGCCGTGAGCCAAGGGGCTGGTGAGGAAGCAGAACTTGCCCCCAGCCCCAGCCAGCGTGCAGGCTGCACCCATCAGAGCTCGCCTGGGAGGAGCACGGCAACAGAAGCGGTTATTTCTGAACCATGAAAGCATGATGCTCACCAGGCCCCAGTCTCCAACGTGCCAACCAATTTCCTGGATGCAGTTCTCCTTGAGGCAGGGCTGGGTGGCCGACGGCTTCGGCTGCGTTAGGCAGGAGGATTCTTGAGCCTGAGAGCCCTGCTGAGTTCTGCAGGTGACGGTCCGGGTCTGGACCCCTTCCCCACAGCTGGCTGAGCACTGCAGAAAGGGGCCCAGCAATTACAAAGAGGAACCTGGCTTCCACTCGTATTTCCAGGCTGTGCTCCCTAACACTTTGAGATTCCCTAAAACAACCAATCACCATTAAAATCATCTGCTGGGAGAGGAGTTAGCAGAGTAGCTGTTTATGCTGTAGAAGAGACAGCAAGGGATGGTGGATAAGGTCTGGGAGAGCTGGAGTTCACTGCATGATTTTGGCCTAATCATATAATTTATCTTGGTCTCTACCCAAAGATGATGTGCAAAATGACTTTGGGAAAATATCAATACTGCAGAGAAGAATAAATGGCAGGAAGTACCTGGAACCTCTTGTTATTTGCTCCTGATTAATATTAGCTCAAGGTAAAGAATTCAAGGGAAGATAAAAAGATTATGTTCTTGTACTGCTCATGTCTTCTGCCTGAAGACCTTGTGCTCTATTTTTATGATGTGGCACTGTGACACAACTTCTGTACTAGTAACTGGTTTGTGACATTTTCAATGCCCTCTTAAATTCACAGTGGTGTTTCCTGGAACCCAGCCTCCTTCTCTATGAATTACCAAGGTCTCTTACAGAGAGCATTAACTTGGGAACAGTCTGAATCACTGTAGATGAGCTTCCCAGCTGAGTTTCAGCCACTCATTTACTAGAGTGACCTCTTATCTCTGAGAGCAGACAAAACACAGTCACTTCTGGGAACCCCAGAATGAATCACTTAGGAGTCAGATTGTAAGAACACGACACTTGGTGCCTTCCCCAAGCAGTGCTCTTACTCTACAACCCTGAAACTATCTAAGTCTAGGTCATCATGCCTCAAAGTTGCATTTTATGCTGCTGCACCACTCAAAGTACCACCACCAGATTGTAAGTCAAATGTTACAAAGCACGCATGTACTTTTTTAAAAGAGGAAAATTCACTCGTGCGTTATGAACTGAGCAGACTTTACCTTTACTTCCTAAGCCCTTGGCATGTAAGATGCCTTCTAAACACCTGGCTGGCAGCACTCAGCACATACAGTTTTAACCTTTTCCTCTCCTGGAGATATAAATGCATCCAGGCATCAAAACCACCCCACACAGCCATGCTGGGAGGAGCCCTGTGCTGGCACACAGCAAAGAGCAGGTCTCCACTGTTTCAAGAGTATCTTGCTTACTGATTTCTGACTGCAGCACTGCTGTCCAGGGCTAGCAGGGCCGAGGCAGCGATAGGTGTGGCCATGAACAGCCCAGGCAGGGGCTGTGAGCTCCTCTGCTGCAGAGGAGGGAGTGTTACTGCACACCACCAGCTGGTGGGCAGCAGCTCTCACAGCCACCCCGAGGCAGACACTCGGCCAGCCCCAGGTCTGGTGGGCCTGATAAAAACGCAGGAGTGGGGAAAGGACTGGGAGGCCAGAAAAGAGAGAACATGCTAATAGAGGGGCAGGCACAGTTTTGAGGAAGGGGGATGGGTTTATAGAAAGGCACAGCTGCTAACAGCCGGAGGACCGCAGGGACAAGCTCCACACCTCCGCACAGCCCCTCCCCGGGGACACAGCCCCAGAAAAGCAGCCCGGCTCTTCGTGCCCAGGCTCCGGATCCCCTCCCCTCAGCCGTGCCGAGGGGCAGCGCCGCCCCGCACAGACTCACCTCCGACCAGGGCCCGGTGCTCCAGGCCGC